CATGACGCCTGAGTGGGATGGGGAAGCTGATCTTCCTCATCAGACATTTATCCTGATTTGTTAGATGCCAACAAGTTTCCTCACTGGATTTGCTTCTAACAATTATGGAAGAATTTAGGTTCTACCAAAAGCAGGCTAAACATTTTCCCCTGCTGTCAGGTCCCTGGACTGGATGTCCCCACAAGAAGGACACGATTATGTTTCAGAGGGAAGTCTTCCTGAGAAGCAACAGGCTTTTTGAGGGCAGAACTGCAGGTCCCCCCATGGAGGGCTGGAGGAGGGCTAGAGGAGACCCTGGAAAAACAGCAGGAGTGAGTTCAGATACTGCTGCTTAGGTCGCCAAAGACAGCATTGTTATCTCTAAGGATATGACATTCTCCAAAAAGTTCCATGAGTGAAGGAGCCTGTGAACACTAAGCAGGGTGTTAACACAAAGCAACACATAATTTGCGTCACAACTCAATTACAGTATGTTTTGATATTTAGAAAATAATTAGCCCATTGTTCTTTGAAACTGCAGCAGTAGCAATAGAAATAAAGAAGACTGAGCCGTCTTGGAGACAACCATCAATAAACAATTCTAAATCTGCAGGATTCCTTGACGATATGCAAGCGATGAGCTAGATGTGTGCTGCAGGTACCTTTTACTGCAGGGCTCACTCCTGCAAAGCATAGAACTAGTTTTCTCAGCAGACAGAGGGAACCAAGTCAAGATTCCTAATCTTGAGAGATTTACTATATGGCAGGAAAAAATCAGACAAGTACATACGGCCAAGTATGAATAAATGTAATCAAATATTATCAAATGTGATTGGAGCACAGACGAAAGGGAAATTCCTTTCACCTGGGATCTAAAGAGACTTCTTCAGAAAATGTGGCTTTGGAGATGGCCAAAGACATAGGTGGAATTTTGGCAAAACACTATGTAAGGAATTTAAAAACTGATTCTAAAATTCATATAAAAATTCAAAGGATCCCAAATATCCAAAACAATTTTTAACAAGAAAAACAAAGTTGGAAGACTTACACTATATGATTTTCAGACTTATTTTTTATAGAGCTACAGTAATCAGAAAGTATGGTGTTGGTTTCAATCAGGAAAATAGAATAACGGAGCAGAATAGAATGTTCAGAACTAAACCAACACTTATATAGACAATTGATTCTCAAGAAGAATGCAGTGGAGAAAGGATCTTTT